ATAAATAAATAAATACATACATACATACATACATACATACATACATACATACATACATACATACATACATACATACTGTGAAGGTTCCCCTTGACAATTTTTGACCAGTCGTGTTCGACTCTAGGGGGCGGTGCTCATCCCCGTTTACAAGCCATAGAGCCAGCGTTTGTCCGAAGACAATCTTCCGTGATCACATGGCCAGTGTGACTTACACACGGAACGCTGTTACCTTTCCGCTGAGGTGGTCCCTATTTATCTACTTGCATTTGCATACTTTCGAACCGCTAGGTTGGTGGGAGCTGGGACAAGCGACGGGCGCTCACTCCTTCACGTGGATTCGATCTTACGACTGCTGGTCTTCTGACCCTGCAGCACAGGCTTCTGCGGTTTAGCCCGCAGCGCCATCACGTCCCTCATCAGAACTCTTACATGCCTGTAAATAGTTTGTCAATGGTAAAAGTATTACAACTTCAGTCTTTAAAAACAAAAATAGATGAATGCAGGGCAGAGAGGTTTATAAAAAACATGACAAGGTAGTATATTAGCCCTAATTGAATTGGGAATGTAGAAAGCACATCAGGTCACTAGCTAGATGTAAATATTCACTCACAAAATCCCCTAGCCTATAATATGTTCAGAAACAGTTTTAATACCCAGGTTGCTCTTGAGGCCACTTTTCATACAACTGCAGCTTGAGAAGAGCTAGTATTACACAGAAAGGATGTGATCCAGGTAAAGACAAGCTTCATAAACTCAAGCTTTATACACTGATTTCCATCAGTCACAGGCATACTTGGTTTTCTTGGGATTGTGACCATTTTAGGTGTTATGTTTTCATAAATGTCCCATTGGCAGAAAATTATATATTTAGGACTGTGTGAGTCTCAATCCATATTTAAGAGCTATGTGAAGGAGTGGCCCATTGTGCTTATTCAACTGTATTGGCCAAAATGCTTGAGAATTTGACAAAACAAGACACTCTGTGCAATGCTGGTGCCAATGACTACTGACCAATCTCCTTGGAGGATCAAACTTTGAGTAATTCAGACACATGAATATCAGTAGACATACAACAAAGGGTAATATTGCAGAAATTACAAGACAATTTCACAAAGCAGCACAGTACATTTTTCTCTCCAGTTCTGAAACCTTCTTACCCTGCAATAAAACCACCAAACTTCTCATTGACTCTGAACACTTCAGCTCTGGCCTTTCCTCCTCTTGTTGGCCTACAGCTTTCATATCAAAGTGTAGTTATAGAAATAATGCCTTATGCAGTTTTACCATAACATTTGTCAGTAGGCAGTTCCATATATGAGCTTCAAATACTTGGAAAGCAGGTGAGAGACCTAGCAAAATTCTAGCTCTTTAGAGGTGCAGTTTTTAAACCATTAGAATGTAACTCTTAGAAAAGCTTGTGAATATTAAGGAATTTGAGAGACCAGGATCTTTTTGTAATAGAAGAGGCACCAACTCTTGAAAAAAGTTGGCAATCTCATGAATTCCTCACCTCCCATTTTCTTTTTCCTTTCCTTTATCTTTTATATATACATGTGCTTCTGGGTGCATGTGTAGTAAGCAGAAAATGTTCACCCTATTTCACATTCTAGTACAAATAATATTCTGCTTGCAATAATTATATAATGATACCAGCCCATTCCAGTCCTTCATTTCCCTGTTCTCAACTTCCACTGAACAGAAGCACTAGAAGTGATTCTACATTTTTCTCACTAATGCCAGCAAGCACTGCTGTGGATGACAGTTCCTAAGAAATGGTGTATTGAGTAAATTAGTGTATGTGCTCACACTACTTGTACAAGGAGATCAGTGGATATTGCTTGGAGAGAGATATAAATAGGACTTGCTAAGTGTAGACACAAAATACGTTTGTGGGAGTGAAATAGTCCAGTGCAATTGCAGGAGTTTTGCAGGTTAGTTTTTACTGTACATAGCCCTCCTGAGACAGGATCCATCACTGGATACAACATTAGTTGCAAGTTCAAATATGGCCAGGTTCAGCTCCTTAGTTATCATGTGACTTCTCTTCCTCTTTTTTTAAAAAGCCTTACTGCAGTGATCATGAACAATGGTGAGGCTTGGATACATGTTCCTTTTTTGCCAAAAGTAAACTGGCAAAATTGAAGTCCCCACCACCCAAAGAGAATCACACCAACACACTCTGTGATAGTTCTCATACTTCTGTACTAAAAGCCCTCGAATTTGGAAAAGTCTCATGTATTATGCAATGGTGGGTCACCGGATAACTCTGGAGCGCTGCCATTTTGATGGGCAGCCCCATTTCCTTGCAGCACGTTGGTGTATAAGTGATCCTTTCACCCCCATTCCGCACCAGGTCAGCAGTCTGTATGTAAAAAGGGGAGCTATAGGGGGAGCAGGTTGGGCAATAGTTCCGATGGCCCTGCTTCTTAAGCTCATGGGATGGAAAGGAGGTGTTGCCCTGTCCGTCCATGATACGAGAGTTGCACGCGTTGCACATGACATAGTGTGAATGTGGAGGAAGGTCAGGCTCCTCCTCCTCTTCCTCCTCCTCCTCCTCCTCCTCCTCTTCCTCTTCCTCAGATTCATCTTTCTTACAACAGTAATACTAAAGTAGGAGGAAAGATATGTGGTTAGCACAGAAAAATGTGTCTCACGTATTTAATATATTAATATAGCAAAAATAGAATAAAATATACAGTATATGTTAAAATTTTCAGCTGTTCCACCTACATTAACTCAGTAATTATTACAACAATGTTATCATTCCCATATTAATATGTGCACAGCAAGATTGAGAAATAATGACTTAACTAGGGAGTTAATGCCTGGGCAGCATTTTGTCTCAAGACTGTCATCTTCATAGCTTTGCACTCCCAGAACAACACTATCAAAATTCTAAGGCAGAACAGGTGGCAAGATTCTTCCTCAGGGAAGTGCAAGGTCTGAGGGTCAGGGGCTGATTATCTATTAGAAAAATACAGACTTGCACACTTCTTCTTTAATACTGGGTGTCTATGGAAAGCATGGAAGGATACCATGGTTGATAGGATCAAGAACTGCTGAAAGATCTAAGAGCACAAGTACCTAGATATTTTGGCAGTTCTTGATATTTCGGCAGTTCTCAATACTAGGACACTCCCCCTGTCTGCTTCCCTTAGGAGATCTTGCAGAATAATCAATGTAGTCCCATTCTGATGACATGGCCTGAACCCTGGTTGAAATAGATCTAGACTATCCATCTCATCCAAGAATAACTGCAGCTGATCATCCTCTTTATTAGTTTGCATAGAAATGAGATGTTCATAATGGGTCTACAGTTGCTTAATTCATTGGTCACCATGTTGGTTTTCTTAGGAACAAGTCTTATTGTAGTTCCTTTTGTGATGAGATGGGATATGTGATTAAAATCTTGTATTGAACATGGGTTTAGTAATTAAGAAATGTGCAAGAGAGGTTCCATCTTGTTTCTCTGTATAGAGCACTGGTTCTTAACCATGGGTTACTCAGGAGTTTTGGACTGCAACTCCCAGAAGCCTTCACCACCAGCTGTCCTGACTAGGGTTTCTGGGAGTTTCAGTTCAAAAGCATCCGAGTAACAAAGGTTAAGAACCACTGGTATAGAGGATCCTTGCAATGCTAACAGGTTGTTTGCTAGTGAGAGCTGGGAGAATGCTTTTCTGAGAGCATGAGAAGGAACTTTGTGATAAGATAGATGGGTACTGTTGTGACTCTTCGCAAAACCACAGAAACCCAAATAACATCTGTTACCCATGAGAGAGAAGGTCAGGTGGTACAACAGGACTGCTTGTCTAATGACAGACTGTGATTGGATGACATCGTGGGAAGGAGCAGATAAGGACTCTCTCGTGACCTACACATATGGATTACTCATACACGCACTCAGGGAATATGCTTGACTCTTTTCATGGACTATTCTTATGGACTACCCCATGGACTATTCTTGTGGATTATTCTCAGAACAATGGGATATTTTCTTTTACAGGACTTTTCCTTTTGTACAGTATTTTTCATTTACAGGATTATCAAGGACTATGGACTTTTTCTTACATAATTGGACTATTTTGTTTTCCTGATGGATTACCTTACTGGAACTGTTTTTATTCATTTTCTTGACTTTTTGGAATTATTTTAATGTTTTTGGTTACTTAGATATTTTTCATGTTTTCTTTGCCTCACTACAAGTTTGTAATTAACCAGCATAATGCTTATTTGCTTGCTTTTGTGTAATTTGATTTTTTCTTTAAGGAACTTACTTTTTCTTTAATAAAATAATGATTATAAAAATCAATTGGTTTCCTGAACAGTAAACTTGTCATAGGTCATCTGATGGTGCTTGCCTCAGCCTTGCATACTTAATGAGTCCTGCCTGTGGTGCATAAGAAGTCTAAGGACTACAGAACCCATATGGTTTTCTATCAGTAATATTCAAAGGTACAAGGGTGTTCTTATTAGGGCAGACTTGTGAAAGGGAGCTTTGACACGCCTAGCTGAGCTCTGGGACTCTCTCAGCACATTTTAGGGTGTCCAATCTCCTAATTACTCTCTGTCCAAGCATTCATGCGTTCTCTAGGGAACCGTGTTTGTCACACCTTTTACACAGGAAGGCTATGCAAAAGATGCATTGATGACATGAGTGGCCCATTCTACCATTATCTCCTTGGTGGACTTGGCCCTAGTCATCATAGTTGTGGTACTGGTGGGTGTACTTCACTTTGCCAGTTTAAGTAGCACACACTTTCTCAAACCATCGGCTGCCCACAAGTTGTCAACATGTAGTGTTTGAATGTATTTAGGCAATGTCTATAAAACTTTTCAGAGTCAAATTTTCTATGACCTGACTAAGCTTCCAGCACCATTTATGTTTTCTGTGCATCCTTTGTATCACCTATGAACCTCCTCTTGTTGCTCCAAGTTGCCAGTTCCATAACAAAGCAAGTAAGATTGGGAAAGTTACTCCAGATATGGCACTCAAAAGCAAGATTTGATGTCTGTTAAATAATGACAAACAGCAGACGTGAATAAGCCCTCACTACAACCCAGTATAACCATTCCACAGGGCCTACAGCTGCAGCAAAAACAAATTAATTAAAACAACCTAAGTCAGTGCTAAGAAATTCTCAGAGCTGCACTATGATAAATGGACTATAAGTTCACAAGAAAAGGCAAGAGATAGTGTGGTTTAAAATAGAAATTGTGATCTGAGACATAGAATCATAGAATAATTGAATTGGAAGGACCATTGAGTACAGCCCCTGCTCAATGCAAGAGTCCATATCTTATTCAAATCTTACCTACCTACTTCAAGTGGCATATTTTGAATATAGTGAAAAGTCACAAATTGATATTACTATTTTTGTTGTTAAATTCCCTGAGGAATGAGGAAAGGTGCTTTCGGGATATTTACCAAAATATCATAGTTGGCCTTAGAATCATAGAATGATAGAAAAGTGAAGTTGGAATGGACCTACAAGGCCATCAAGTCCAAACCCCTGCTCAAGGCAAGAATACAATCAAACCATATCTGTCAGGTGATTATCTTTCTTGAATGCCTCCAGTGTTGGAGTACTGAGCAACTCCTGAGGTAACTGGTTCCACTGTTGTACTGCTCTAACAGTTATGTTTATCCTGATATCCAACTGAAATCTGGCTTCCTTTAACTTGAGCCCATTGTTGTGTGTACTGCACTCTAAGATGCAGGAACTAAGTATGACTCTTTGGGGAGAGAGCCACTTGACTGTTCCACCTCAAGCAGTAAAATCTCTCAGGCTGGTCATGTTCGCCTCATTGTGAAACTGAGCAACCTTTGGGTTGACCGTTATTTTTGGAAATTCAGCCCACCATCTGGGGATGATACAAGCTTATCTTAGAACCATACAGTCATAGAATATTATGTGTCTTGCACTCTGGGGCAATTAAGAACAGATTCTGCCTCTCCTGTGCTATCATATTTTCCCCCAGTCTTCTTTTCTCGAGGCTAAACATTCCTCCTCATAGGGCTTGCTTTCCAGTCCCTAGACCATTCTTGCTGTCTTCCTCCTTCCGCCTTCTGCCACTAGAGGGGGATAATTTTTCTTTTTTTCCCTTAGGTTCAGGAAATGAGGAGGAAGGCAGGAAACAGTTTGCAAAGCACTTTAGAAATCTTTTTTTTCAACAAAGCCAATTTTAAATAATGTTTTAAAGCATGTTGTGCTGATTTTTTCAGCACAAAGACACACAGGCAGGCTTTTTAGGTGCTGAGAAAGCCTCCCCAAGCCTCTTCATCAGCTGATAGGCGGGGAGAGGAGGGTGCAGGAGCGGGGGAAAATCATAAAATGGCTGCCAGGCTCCCTTCTGGGTGTCAGCTTTTAGCTGTTTCCTGCTCTTTTTCCTGCTGTTTGGGGGCTACCAAGGCCTGGTAAATGACTTTCTTTTATTTATTTTTAAGTTTCTGACCCCTTTTTCCCCTCCAGAAGCCTCTAAGGGGAGGGACGGGGGACTTTTTTCCCTGTACATAACTCGAGGGAAGTTCGTATGTCGAGTCCTTATTCCCCTATAGGGCGGGTTCGTAAGTTGAATTGTTCGTAAGGAGGGTCATTCGTAAGTCGAGACCCCACTACAACTCCCAGAAATCCTGGCCAGCAGAGGTGGTGGTGAAGGCTTCTGGGAGTTGTAGTCCAAGAACATCTGGAGGCCTAAGGTTAGGGACCACTGCTTTAGTGTAAAATACAAAAGCAACTACTATTAGGCACGATTGCCTTGACAAGACTCCCCTGTCAGTTACATCTATCACAGTTCTTATTTATTTCAGTAAATTTAATGTAACACTACTAACACTAATGCCCTTTCCAAATGTCTGAAGAGTCCCTCACTGTTCCCTTCCTCTTTAATTCCTCCCCCTCTTAAGATGGGGATACAGCCAGTAGAAACAAACACAAGATATAGCGGTGCTGTCTCCTAGCTGCTGAATTCAGTCATACATCCTGTTTGCTCTTCTAGACTCCTGCTGCACATTGAGTGAAGGAATGGAGTAGCCCTCATAGTCAACAAAAGAGTGTGAAAAGCTGTTACGAGATATAATCTCAAAAATGAAAGAATGATTTCAATATAAATCCAAGGCAGACCTTTTTGACATCACAATATGCACCAAATACCAATGCTGAGGAGACTGAAATTGACCAATTTTATGAAGACTTACAACAACTTCTAGAACTGACGCCAAAGAAATATGTTATTCTCATTCTAGAGGATTGGAATGCTAAAGTAGGGAGTCAAGAGATAAAAGGAACAACAGGAAAGTTTGGCCTTGGAGTTCAGAACGAAGCAGGGCAAAGGCTAATTGAGTTTTGTCAAGAGAACAAGCTGGTCATCACAAACACTCAGATGGTCAATACCAAAATCAGATTGATTATATTCTCTGCAGCCAAAGATGGAGAAGCTCTATACAGTCAGCAAAAACAAGACCTGGAACTGATTGTGGCTCTGATCATCAGCTTCTCATAGAAAAATTCAAGCTTAAACTGAAGAGAGTAGGAAAAGCCACTGGGCTAGTCAGGTATAATCTAAATCTAATCCCTTATGAATACACAGTGGAAGTGAAGAACACAT